TTCCTCTTTTTTAATGGACCCACTCTCTCAAATACGGAAGTCCTCGTAGTTGATTTTCCAAGTCGATCAAAGATAGAAGGCTTGTTAGAAACGACAGATTCATTTTCTACAGTGATATAATTGCTGCTCGCGCTTCTTATAGAGATGCGCACTGGTGACAGTTTTTTGTATCCCAAACCTTCACATGGTTGCCTCGTCGCAACTTCTGATGAGAGCTTCCCAAACTTTGATAGCTCATTGGGATTGTATCCAGCTTTTGCAAATAGCATGTAAGCGTTAGGATCAAAACCTTCATCTGTTCGCTTTGTATGGAGTGCTACATTCTGCAAATGATTTTGAGCCACAAACCCTGCAAGTGGCTTTGAGGACAACTTTACCGCCTCAATTCATTTTACCGGAAGAGTTAACTCTTTTAGCATGTTAGTTTAGAGATTAGATGATTCACCTTCATATTTCTTCCTTTTTGGAACATATTGGAGCGCATGAGTTACTTTCTTGCCATAAGACACAATATCCCCTCTATAAGATTTATTCGAGTTAGGTTGTACCTCCTCAGTAACAGCTTTGGCTTTACCAGCAGCCACATCAGCTTTTTTAGTTGTGGGCTCGTTATTCTTGCTTTTCATGACATCACCATCTTTTAGCTCCTTCACAATGCGGTTCTTCAAGTAGAACTTTGCATCGGGTAAGTGTGACTCAGCCTCGGTGAATGGCTCATCATCATCAATTATCAAATCTTCGACTTAACCCTCGTAGTATTTTAAACATTGATGGTAAGTAGATGGAATTACTTTATTCTCATGTATACAAGGCCTTCCAAGCAGGACGTTGTATGAAATCTTTGCATTGATCATATGCATCCATGTACTTGATCGCATATCTTCAATAGTGATCCCCAACCTAATCGCACCTATGGCTCTTTGCCCTACTTGGTTGAATCCTTGGATCATCACACGACTTTCCGAGAGTTCGTTCATGGGAATACCAAGTTATTTCACTATGCGAATTGGCAAGATGTTCACTGAGGATCCTCTATCAACCAAAATTTGATTTACCCTTTCATTACGCATATATCCAACCAGGTACAACGGGCGGTTATGAAGAGTGTCACCTAGTACAAGATCGTCATTTATGAATGTAAGTTTTTCCTCGCACGCGTTAACTTCTTGAGGAATAGACTCGATGAGATTTTATGAAGATGGTGCCAAACGGTAGGTCATCACTCTTTTCTTCCCCTTTATCAGCATTGCAACAAGAGGCCTCAATACCATTATAGGAAATCTTCATGCGGAACCAACATGGAAAGAAATCCTCCAAGGTCACCAGATGTCGTGACTTTTTAGGGTGGTGCACCTCCATTTTTGCTTTCTTCAAACGCCTAACTAGATTCTGTTTCATTGGTCTTTTTACCATCATTTTTTTCGTAAGTTGTTCTATTGATTCTTTTAGTGGGCTCCTTTTTTGGTGCCTATGACGAGTCACCAACGTCCAACCTTCATCATCATGAGGCTGATCGACTTTAACTTTGTTGTTCTCCATTAATTCTTCATCTTTACTTTCTTTAAAATCACATAATTCATCTGGGCTGAATGAGCCAAAGGTGATAGAGACTTGGTTTGCGCTTGGTTTCTCATCTTCAAGCACGATCTTCTTTTCACTAGCCAAGTCCATAAATTTGTCCTTAAATACAAAACACTTCTCTAGAGGGTGACTTACAAGTCGATAGTATTTGCATTAATTTGGGTCATTCGTTTTACCAGCTTCATTTGGCCATTTCATCTCCGGAAGCTCAATAAGATTTAATTCGAGGAGTTCTTCAAAAATTGTTGGCACATCAGAATCCAGAAATGGGTGCTCCTTCTCTTGCATTTCTTTTAGAGTCAACTTCCCATTTGGTTTATCTTGAAAAGAAGTGGATTTCATACTCTGCTTTTTGCTCACCTTCGTTGTGAACTTCACAGGTGATGTGTTGACATTCATAGCTTCTTTTCTTTCAGACCTGGGTACAGACTTGCTCCATTTCCTAACTTCTTGCTTATCGTTCCCTTTGCGAGGCTCATAGATATGCAACTTTTCGTTTCCAGCGGAGGCCATGCTTAACTCTATGTCATGGGCACGAGTCGTAACTTCTTCAAATGTGCTAGGCTTGATACCTTGCAAGATGTAGCGGAGTCCCCAATGCATGCCTTGCATGCATATCTCTATGCCATAAGCTTCACTAAGACTTTCTTTGTAGTTGAGGCTTGCATTCCTCCAACGATTGATAATTTCGATAACTGGTTCACTCTTTCGTTGATGAGTATTTGTAAGTTCTATCATACTCATAGTATGTCTCGTGCTATAAAAGCGATTGGGAAACTCTTGCTCTAGTTGATCCCAGCTATCAATAGATCTAGCTTCAAGGTATGTGTACCAGTCAAAAGTATTTCCTTTTAGCAAGCGGACAAACTTCTTGATGAGGAAATCTCCATAAGTCCCATCATAGTTGCACATCTCAACAAAGTGCGCCACATGTTGCTTTGGATTACCTTTACCATCAAACTGTTGAAGCTTTAGAAGTTGATAGCCAACAGGGATCTTCAACATATCCACCCTTGCAGTGTACGACTTTGCATATGTAAGGGAGAACTTGACAGCAACTTCATACTTGTTCTTAATAGTTTCTTCAATGAACTCATTCAGTTGATCGTTTGGAATCATCCCTTCAGATGAGATAGGAATAGCCTTAGCGGATGCTACTTATCTTGGGTTAGAATCACTCTCTAGAACTTCTGGGAGCTTGCTAGTGTGTGGGTGGATTCTTCTTCCTCAAAATTCCTACCATATATGTTAGCTTGTCGATTCTAGCATCTTGATTTGTCATGCACTTGGTCAAGCTAGTGATTGCTTCCGCCAAGTTTGCCAACTGCTCCTCCACAGATTAAGTGTTTGTCGCCATGGCTTGCATGATTGTTGTGGGCGATGGAGAGTAGCATGGATTGTCACACAGATTAATCCTCAATTGGCTCACACTATGTGGTGTAAGTAGAGAGGATACATCACTTGAAGCATCATCAACTTCCTTCACAACAGAGTTTTTTGATTCGGAGAGGTTAAGCAGAGCAAGAGTTTTCTTAATCTTTTCAATAATATCGCTTCCTTCTTCGGGTACGTTTGTGGAAGATCTTGCTCATTTTTGAGGATGAAGATCCAAAAATAGGGTTGATGCGGACGACGCTTGGAGTGCTTGTTGTCCTAAAAAGCTTGTCTTGATCTTTGTAGTCGGTCCAAAACTTCCAAAGCTAACATCGAGGATGCTTTCCACATCAGCATAGAACTTGGAATTGGCAGCCTTGGTGGACATTGATTTGGAGTTGATTTTCTTTGAAGCCATTTCGATGTTCTTGAACTTTGGTGATCGAAAAGTTGAGATGAGAGGTAGAGATTGTCCCACTGGGCGTGCCAGAATTTGTAGACAATAAATTTGCTTCAAGAAAAATAAAATCAAGACCGAAAAATATTGCAACAATCGTAGTATTTGATTTCAAGTAATATAAGTATACAATCTCTATGAATCCCCTGATTCTTCTTTCCAATAGAAAATAAATTCAAGGGCCTTCAAGCTTGATCTTGAATTTATATTTTTGCCACGAACGATGATCTTGAATTTAACTAGCACGAACTTTGATTTGAACTCGTACTCCTTGAACCTTGATTTGTTATTTGTTCTTGAGTTTGAACTTGATTTCTTGAACTTGAACTTGATTGCTTGAAGCTTGAAACTTGAAGAGAAATTTGCGGCATTTGATCCACGAGCTCTCTCTTGCTTCTTGTTATAACTTCTGGTGTCTTTTATGGGTTATGAAGACCCCTACTTATAGTTGTGGGATGGAAGAGTTGTGATAAGAACAAACTCTTTCCGGCCAATTTAAAGTATGATAAGGCCGCATTTGATTGGCCAGAACATATCACTTGCACACGTGTCGCGATTTCATCGGCCTTTTAATGTGACTTGGCATGCCTTGTGATTTTGACACGTGGCATAATCCTATTGGCTCTTCCGTTTGACTTGGCGTGCCACGTCATTTGACACGTGGCACCAAATTGGGTCTCTAGGAAGATGACATTTCGGGCATAATGAAATGGACTCATCACTTTAGCCCAATAAGACTTATTTATTTAATCCATATACATTAAACTTATATTATTAATTCATTTATATTAGCCCTTAATATTTATTTGGACTAATACAATCCAAATTATTTTATTGTATTTAAATTCAATAACTTTTGCATGCTTACAATTCATAAACTTCAAATTCTGAAACAGTCTCTGTCGATAGCCTCCTCTTCTATTATCGACGAGCTTTAAACTATTTCACAAAGTAATGCATCTTATTTAGTATAAGTCAGAAATATAGCAGACTAACCACTAGAATGCTTGGACGATAACATTGATAGTTTCTACATTTTTTTGATAAGTGATAGTTTTTATACATGCAAAGATCCTTTCTTGTTCCCTTCAATATCCCCATAGGAGCTAGAAATAAAAGGAGAAAACCCCGTAATGTTTATTAAATGGATATGATGATTTTGTTGGCTGGATATAAGTAAGGCATTTCGTGTAAAGTTCCTCTATTGTCTGCGTGAATAGGTTGGGTCGTATTATGCTCTCTCTACAAGCCATCTTTTTAATTGTGTAATACTAAAGTAAAGGACTACCTTTTCGAAAGGGAAGCTTCATTTGAAATATTACAGGAGGAATGTATTTGAAAGGACAAAGATAATACTTTTGAAACTTGCTAACTTATGCGAAGGAATGAGTAAACAGTAAATAATCTGTCGCGGATTAAAAGTAAAAAAAATCTTATGAAAAAATGATATTGTATAGCTGAGAATTTTTTTTTTTGGAATTAATCCAGACCAAAAAGAAGAGAGGTCTTTGTTACTTTGATTACTAATATTTTTTTTAAAAAAGGAAAAATAATAATAATAATAATAATGCGGTTGGATAAAGATCCAAATATAGCAGTCGCAGGGGATTAGGTCCCAATAGAATACCCCAACAAGCCAAAAAATAATTGTGATAGCTTCCTACTACAAGAAAGGGGGCGTTGGTTGAAGGAAGCGTTCTGTATTTTTCGCTGACTCAGAAAATCTTCCCCTTTTTGCAAGTAAACATTCTTCATCTTTCTCATTCATCTTTCCATATAGAATTTTTTTTTAATTTAAATTTGTTTATTTTTCCTCTCTGCAATGATCTCACTTTGTTTATTTACATTAAAGACATAAATGATGCTGATTTTCCTTGAACAAATAATTTTCCTGCTTTTTTTCCTTAATTATTTTATGGGTTTATTCTTGTCTTTGCAGTCTTCTTATTGTCTATGTTTCTATTAAATTCATAGTAATATGTACCTATTCCCTGTTCACTGGATCAAACTTCAAACAACGGGAAGAGGGTGGGGGGNTAAACCTTATTGAAGTTGATATCATGGGAATATAATTTAGTTATTTCTGCTGAGAGTAGAAGTAGCTGAGATTGTTGCTCTTATCATCTAATTTAGTCGTGACTCAAGTTAAGTTTGAAATTTGATCTGTTACTATTTTGGGATTGAGGCTATTGAGGCGTAATTGATTGATCGATATGGCTGTCAAACACTCGAGCAAAGTTGGAGTGTTTGATCAGTCAGTAGTTTGAGATTGAGGAATTGTTGATTGATTGATATGATGTAAAACACTCAGCATAGGGATCAGCTTCTGGTTCAAAAGTAATTGGATGGTTTTGAATTTGAGCATTATTTTATAGGAGTTGTATCTTGGCTTTTATGACAGGAGCAAATTTGACAGTATATGTGAGACTGTAAATTTATTTAAAATACACAAATACTTTTGAAAGGCTGACGTTGATAATTTTAATGCTATAAAGTGTAGAGGCAGTATGTCTAGTCTTAGTCCTTGGCAACCTGCATATGCAACTGTTGGACTGAGTTAAGAGGTAATTTATTGCTTATTTGATCAGCCTGAGACAAAGCCAGCATGAACCAGATAGATTCTCAGCTTGAATATTCAGTGTAATTATTGCAAAGGAAATTATGAGTCTTCTTGTTTTGCGTCGGGAGTCTTGTGTGACAAGAAAGTGCCACCGTTACTAAAAGGTAAGTTTTATAGAGCAGTGGTTAGGCCTGCCATGTTATATGGAACTGAATGTTGACCGGTAAAGAACTCACACATCCAGAAGATGAAAGTAGCAGAGATGAAGATGTTGAGGTGGATGTGCGGGCATACAAGGATGGATAAGATTAGGAATGAAGATATTCGAGAGAAGGTGGGTGTGGCCCCCATGGAGGACAAGATGCGGGAAGTAAGACTCAGATGGTTCGGGCACATTCAGAGGAGGAGCACTGATGCACCGGTGAGGAGGTGTGAGCGACTGGCTGTAGTGGGCACGCGGAGAGGTAGAGGACGACCTAAGAAGTATTGGGGAGAGGTGATCAGACAGGATATGGTGCGACTTAGGATTACTGGTGACATGACCCTTGACAGAGAATTATGGAGGTCGAGCATTAAGGTTGTAGGTTAGGGGAGAGTTGGGAATATTTCTACAGCACAATAGAGTGAGACTAGCCAGTTAGGAGTTAGACTAAGAATGTCATTGGTCGTCTATTGATGCAGGGCTTTACCTGCTAGTTTTACTATACCAGCCATCTATTTCGTATTTCGTATTCTGTATTTCATATCTCTTATATATTGCTGTTATTTTAATATGCATTTCTATGGTACTAATATATCGGCTCCTGTTGCTTTTTTGAGCCGAGGGTCTCCTGGAAACAGCCTCTCTACCCTTCGGGGTAGGGGTAAGGTCTGCGTACATATTACCCTCCCCAGACCCCACTTGTGGGATTATACTGGGTCGTTGTTGTTGTTATGTGCACTTCAACTTTTTTTTTTCCTCTCGTGTTCCTATTGTTCTTCTCGTTTGAGTGAATAGTTCTTAATGAATGACTGTGAGATCAGTTCTATTGAAATAAAAAGAAGTCTTCAAGACCCATTTTTTGAATAAACTTGTCCATGGTAAAAATGCTGACTTCCAACTCTTTAGCATATTGCTTGCAATGTATAGATATATTCGCAAGCTAGAAGAAAAATGGTGATAGCCGTATGTGTGTGTGTATATATATATATATATATATTATATATATATATAAACATTTTAGAAACTCAGTATTCGATGCTGCAAATCCTTGATAGACCTTGTGATAATTTATTTATGAACTTTTTGAGCGGCCAAAGTTTTCATCTTTAAGTAAATGTAAGCAAAAGTTATACTCAAAACAATCTCTTTAGGAGAGCCAATTTTGCATATTTCTGTCAGATCCCCCTTCTGAAGTATGGCTACTTCATTCACAAATCATTTTCTTCTGCTGTGTAACCAAATAAGGTTCATTAAAGAAACCTTGTTGACAAAATGGACTTGTAAGCAAAACACCAAATATAATAACAATAACTATGTGTCAACCAAATTAGTTGAGCTCAGCTATATGAGTCATCTAAATTGAATTAGGGTTTCTCTAAATTTTTAGACTCATATATCTTAAACTTATAATACTCCCGATAAGCACTAGATAAACTTTTGTCATTTATCCTCTAAGGATGTTAGTTTCAGCTTATGTCAGACATGGTCATTTGTGATCTTCTTGTATATCCACACATTTATCTTAACATTCTCATTTTTAAGACACTCATGTTGTGGATATGTTGGGACTTAGAGGCGCAACATACAGTATTACTGATAACATAATTTTTTGATAGAATTTGCCTTTCATCTTGGTAGGTATTTGTTATTGCATAGCAGTCCTATAACACCTCTATTTCAACCACCCTATTTATTTCTATGTGGTACATCTTGTTCTCGTGCCATTTTTCTTTTAGTCTGAACAATAACTACAACAACAACAACCCAGTAAAATCCCACAAGTGGGCTTAGGCATCACATTTCCGTCTAGTCTCACTTAAACTTCATTCTTTCTGTCGGGCAAATGCCATATCTTTTCCCTATTCTTATATGGAATTCTCACAAATGTTACTTTGCACGTATGTTTATGTGGGTTCGAAACACATAATTAATGCACGATAAGAAAAGACAGCTTCATGTGCTTGCAACTGTCATTCTTCAAGTGCTATTAGCATGTCTCTCGTTGATTTCTCTTTTTTGTACTTTATTATGCTATTTCTTGAATCTGGACTTACTGTTTCACTTGGCAGCATGGATGTCAAGGTCTGCCTCTGCCTTCTCATACTCGGTGCTGTGTGTTGTACTGCTAGAGAATTAGCAGCCCCTGACCTCCTTATTAAAGAAACCACGGATGTTTCAGGTACTTTTCCTATTCTTTTGTTACAAGTGCCAATGGCTTTAGTATTGTGTTTGGATATGATTTTTGTAATATGGATTCTGAAATAATGGGATAGCTTTAAATTACACACACATAGGAAAATGATGACTGCTAAATAGTAAATCTGCAGCCGTAAAATTTACAAATTCTGTGAACAGCATTGATGTCCTTCTATGGTCAGCGACCTATCCATAATTAACGAGAACCTCTTGGATTTTCCAGGGTAGATGTCTAGTGGAAGTTTGTGATTTTCTTGCTAGTGAAAGCATTTCCTAAGCTAAGCTTTGAATATCCTTGCAGTTTATTCATTTACTAATTTTCAGTTCCTAAAAACTCTTATAGTAATGACCTTTCTCTTCCATTTTTTCCTCCCCAATCCTCTAAATTTAAACTGCAACATCAACTTTCTCTAAACCAAAGATTTTTTTTTCCACCTATTACCAACCAACCAGTCTCTTGAGGAAGTACCGTCAATATATTTGCCATGGGGTCTTCTGTTTTCAAGTCGATTTATTTTGTTAGTTCCGTTTATTTAAGATATACTTCATATGACTTATAATGAGATCGACATCGATTTTTCCTATGTGTGTATTATACTGTTATGTCAAATATGGCCTGTTTTTATTAAATAGAGGGATAGACTGTGGAAATACAAACTTGGAAGGTCAAGTGTTTCATTTTATTTGCTTGGTAGTCTAGGTCATAATAGCAGTTTACTTCATTTTAATAAGGGGTTCATGATAATTTGAGAAACTATGGTGAAAAGTTATCCTCAGAATCTTGACTTGGATGCTTGCCTGCAAATTTCAAATTAGCTACTTATATGGCTTTATTGTCTGTTTATCCTCCATTATTAAGATTTTGTTAGATGGGGATGTAAGTGATTTTTCCGTCCAATTATCTTTCTGGTAGATTTCTTTTATTCATGCTTACTAGCCTAATCTATGTTTAACTATATTCTTCTGTGGCAGATGCTATCATCTTGTTGATATATTTATGTGAAGTCATTTATATTACTTGATTGATTTAGGAGTATGGAGTACCTGAATAAAAACTTTATTATGACATAACATTGATCTTGGCTTTCTTGCAATAGCATTGTGGATAAGTAACCTACAGGCACAGAAACAACTTCAGTCTCTGAAAGACGTCGAAGGATTGTGCACATTGTGTGAAGAATATACTGCTAGTGCACTTGGTTACCTTTCTAATAACGAGACCCAAACAAAGATACTTGACCTACTTCTCAACACCTGTTCGAAGATGCCAATATACAAGCTCAAGGTACTTGTGATCTGACCTAAATGTCCATCTATTGACCGTTAATTGGGCCCAAATGATTAATTCACACTGTCAATAATGCTACTAAATTGTTAATAATTCCTAATCTCACACACACACACACACACATTTGCAATAAATTTATCACTTTGCTGTCTATATTTGTTAGTGTCGATGTATACTGGCAATTAGGTGATGCCTTGACGCTTTGGCACCTGCAGGAAAGCCCCTTATAAGGGAGGCGAAGTTCTCAGCCTGTGTTGCGCATAGCTTGATATTTTTAGGATTATGCAACAACATTGATAATGTTATTTTCTATCTTTTGCAACATTAATTTTCAAGTGACTTTCTCTTAAAATCTTTTGCTTGTAGTGCACTGCCCTGGTGGATCAGTATGTTCGTCCCTTCTTCTTAGTGATCTCCACTATAAAACCTGACGATATTTGCCAAAAGGTTGACCTTTGTCAGAAAGTGGTTTCCATCTCTCAACAGTTCTCTCAGAATGGCTGTGACTTGTGTCATCAAGTGGTTAAAGAGACACTTTTGAAATTGAAAAATCCTGACACTCAGGTACTCGTCTTTCATTATATATATACATTTTATATGTCGAACTATCGACAGAAAGGACAAAAGAACCATGTTTTCATGGTTAGCGTCCACTTACATTTAGCCGAGAGTCTGAACTATTACAAAGGTCGGAAGGTGGTTAATCTGACTCTCTAAATGCTACATAAAAATGTCAATCCAAAATTGCAAATTTGTTACTGATAATGATACGTCATTTGGAAGAAGTCACTAATTATGTGCATTTTGTTTGATAAGGTACAAATATCATAATATACTTGTATTTACCAACACATTTATGAAAATGTATTTTCTCAACTTTGTGAATGCATAAAAAATTATATTTTAGCATTTCTTTGTAGCTGCAAGTTATTCATACAAGATAGTATGTATGTGTGTGTCTACTACTACGGTGGTGCTGGGACTCTTTTGGTCAAGCTTGCACATACCTTGACTATTCCACCGGGTACCTGCTAGTATGTCAATGGTTCGGTTCGGCCAATTAATTTATAAAATTTGTATAGTAGCAGTTTTTCGGTTACTCTACTATGTATAACCAAAGTTAGACTTTTGAAAACTGTCCCAATCATCTCGGTTTGTCTTCGGTATTAGTTTGGTTCGGTTAACTTTCAGTATTTTTCTTAAAATGTCATGTAAGGATTGATAGTAGAAGTTAGAATGTGATAACATATGTACTTACATAGGACTTTGGTAAAACTTTCTAAACATTTTTACTGTTTAAAAATGGATGAATCAAGGGAATATGAAAGATGGCTAGAAGAGAGATCCATCTCACTAAAAGAAAGTAAGCGAAGACAAGAGAAATATAAATCATACAATACAAGTAGGAATATATTAATCAAGTTGGGATTCAAAAATAGAGTCTATTAGAAGATTAAGTATCCAATAAGAGAAATGTAAATCATACGAGAAGAAAGATATTCAACCTTATAGTTTGCTACTTAAGATGCAGGAACTAGTTTAGTTTCAATAGGTGTAGCAGAATATGTTTGGGAGCTGGGACTTTTTGTTATAATTACTTGTTGGCTTGTAATTGTTTTCAAAACTAAGGCCCAAGCAAAAAAAATAATGTTTTATTATTTTTAAACTTAATAATATAAAATATATTTTTCATGTGCAAATTTATTCGGTAAGGTTCAGTATTTTCTCGGTTTATTTTTATAAAAATAAAAAACCTACTCTAATTATTGGTACGGTAATATATTCATCTAAAAACCTACGGTTTTATTAAAAGAAACCTAATAATCAGTTGGGTACCGTACGGTCGGTCGGTTTAGTCGGTTTTTAAAGATCCATTGATATCCCTACCACCTCTCGCCAGAACAGGTTCCGAGTAAATCAGCCACGAAAACTTAGGCAGATAGAAAGATTCCCCTAGCTTTTTTGTTCCCTCTACTATGATTTGAGTCTTGATTTCATGGTTTTCATTCCCACTTCTTTGATAGCTAGCCTACACCCTTGGGTGTGATATCATGAAGAAATATTGTTGAGCATTGTTAGTAATTAAAAAGACTATGTCATTGGATTTACTGGTTCGAATCTGGCAGGTTGGATGTTTTATTTCATTTATCCTCATACAAAGAATGTCATTAAATTTACTATAGATGTATATGGAGATAGTAAGTGGTTGTCTTTTTTTTCTTTTTTTAGTGGTAAGTGACAGTATGTGGTTGTTGTGTGACAGAATATATTCACTTGTGATTATCTTCAGCAAACTCATTTTCTTCTTGTATTCTTTCAGTTAGACATACTTGAGTTGCTCCTGAAGGCATGTGGATCTGTTGAAAAATATGCTAATAAGGTAAAAACCCTCTGAAACTAATCTTCTATCATAACTATAACTTAATGCCTGCTTTTACTTCGTAAATTCCATCTCAGATAACTCCTTGAATTGTGATAGCTAACAACTATTGTACTTGTTTTGGACTTTTTGGTGTCCTTCAAAAGCTTTTGCAAGCCCCATGTGTCCACAACTATGTTGCTTGGACTCTCCGGAAATGCCACGGGGTGCATGTTGGATCCTCCAAAAGTAGTACATTTTTTGAGGATCCGACACGGGTGCGACAGCATTTTGGAGAGTCCATTGCAATATAGGTCCACGACCCTGAATTGTTAGAAGAAATGAAATGCTTGTCAATGAATGTTTCCTCCGCATTAAGGGGCAAGTTTGCAAAGGATATCTGATGATCCATTATATTTTACTTTGAGACATGCTGTAATACGTGATCACAAGACTTAATTGCTCTCAGACAATTATTACTATATTGAGGAATAAGTGCCAGGATCAAGTTATATTACTTGCAATATTTCTGTATCCAAGAGCATTATGAAGTACTTGATGATTATACGTGGAAGGATAAAAGGTCGTCTGATAACTGTACTGATGTTTCTTTTCTTTCTTTGTCTTGCCGGTTTTTTCTTTGTGCCTCGTGATGTTCTGCAGTGCAAGAAAATGGTCTTTGAATATGCACCAGTGATCCTCGTTAATGCGGAACATTTTCTGGAGAAAAATGACGTATGCACCATCTTGCATGCCTGTGAGCCTGCTGTTGGTAAAGAGGAAGTGTTACCAAAGATGCAAACTTCAATGCATTCTGCCTCTTAAGGAATACAGGTTATTGACACTAGCTTTGGGATGTGTTATAGTTAAACAACTGGATACCATTTTTCTGTTTGTGCCTTATTGTGTATAGTGTGTGAAATTGAAGTGCAAACTTCATCTCTTGTTTATATGCATTGATGTTTATCTAAGAAGCTTAATTTAATAAAAGTCGGTCGTTCTTGATTGCTATGAGCACTTAGATTGTATAGTATTTTGTTGTCTTATTTTCTTGGGTTAGATGGGCGCCTGGCTTGCTCTAAAACCCAATTGCCCCCGCCTGCACGTTATTTACACTAGGTGACCACTTTTGTCGCCTTGTATTTAGAAGTTGGCCACTCTTTCGAAATTAGACATTGTTCTGAATATAGTTTGAATTTTGAGCTTTATATCAGGTTATTACTTTTGAACTTCAGACCATTGGTCTAATTTTGGAAAAGTTGCCAATTTCTAAATATGAGGTCATAAAATTGCTGTGTATGTAAATCGACGGGGGATTTGCAGCCATACCCTATTTTTTGCCACCTTTTAACCTATATCCTATTTTTAAAAACTATTGATTTTGTAACCAACTAACAAAAAATTTGTAATAATATGATCATTATACCCCTTCCAAAACATATAAAAGATGCATCAAGCATACCCAGATTCAAATTCCAGATCTTTTCCGTATCTCCTCCATTAGTCCGTCTCTCCTGAGATCGCCTCTCGCAAACCAAATTTGAACCAGATCCAAATTCCAAATTCAAAATTACAAAATACCAAAACATGCTAAAGTTTTTGTCGTATCAAGTTAAACAAGTAAGTAGCTAGAAAATGCAAAAAAGATAAGTATCAAGTTAAAAAAAATACCAAAACATGCTAAAGTTTTTGTCGTAAAACTTTTTCAAAAACATCAGCCCAATGTGCTGAAGGTTTTTAGTATATTTCTAAAAACTTCAGCACCTGATAAGCTGAAGTTTTTTTGTTGGATTCAATAGTTTTTGTCGTAAAGCTTTTTTAAAAAACTTCGTCCCAGTGCTAAAGTTTTTTAGTATATTTCTAAAAACTTCAGCACCCGATAAGATAAAGCTTTTGTGTTGGATTCAATAGTTTTGTTATGACTTTTAACCAAAACTTCAGCTTAAAAAGCAGAAGTCATTTACTTCATGCTTTTTCAAACAAAAATATACTTAAAATTCATGATAAAAGACACAAACATATTTGTATGATACAAAAGTGAACTAAAAAAGTAATTAATGTATATTCACAAAATTCAAATTATGTTCAACCAATCCTCTAATAAAAAAATTCACACAGAGTCTCTTCAAAATCTCCATAATCATGTCCTTCTTGTTCTTCTGGAGTTTCATAGCCGCTATCTTTTTTTACAAAAACAAAAACTTCAGCTCTAGAGCTGAAGTTCGACGGTTACAAAAACAAAACCTTCAGCTTTAAAGCTGAAGTTCACCAGTAACAAAACACAAAAACTTCAGCTCACCAGTTACAAAACACAAAACATTCAGCCCCATGCTGTAGTTTTTACAAAACAAAAGAACACACAAATTCAAATCCAAAAATAATGCAAAACATGAAAAAAAAATCCAACTCCTATCTAAGGTATCATCACTTTAATAGTATCATCTATTTAACTCTCAAAATTTTTAAAAATTTGGACGTCTAATTACTGAAGAATTTATAGAATTTTCATCAACAACATAAAAACTCGTTCAAAAAACCTAAAAACACAATCGTAAAAGTAAAACTAATGCACTTATCAAACTAAACACTAAGAAACTATTTAATCATAAATACATGACTATCAAAACCAAAACCAGAAAAAAAAAATCAGAAAAAAACAGAAAATCGTAAAATAAAACCCAGAAAGTTAATGCAATATACCTGTGATTAAATCGTAATGTGAGAACAACGACGAATAGCAGTTGAAAAATCAAAACAACGACGACGAAAACCCTTTGATTTTAGAAAAGAACAAATCAAAAAACACGAATAACGGGAGAGAGACAGAGACAATAAAGGACTAGCGTATACTTGGAGAAAAAGTAGTCTTTTAATGAAGAAAGACAAAATAGTCTTTTTAAAAGGCTTTTAACAAAAAAAAACAGGTACAGTTACAAACAGAAAGATAAAGCGGCTAAAGGTTAAAAAGGGGCGGCTCTTGCAATTTTTACTAAATCGACCGTCGTCCGTCAAATAAAATATCGTATAGCCACGTAATGAGTACTTGTAATGGTACATCCGCAACTCTTAGGCAATGATGAATTCAACGCTTAGATGTACACACGTATTAGATACGCGTCCCATGTCCATGCAGTGGTGGCAAAATGGATAAAAAATAATTATAATTCATATTATCCACTAAAAAATGGGTTGGATAATGAGCTTCTTATATACGGGTCAAATGTGGATAAGAAGTTAAGAACCATATTATCCACTTAGAAAATGGGTAACGAATGAATAATTAATGGATTTAACTTTTACATTTGTAAAGATTGAAATTGAGAGTTCTTCAAGTTTGGGTGACTAAGAATTCTCCCAAAAGTGATCAAATTCGAAAAAAGTCAATAGATAATATGGATATCTATATTATCTGCCGATTAACTCATTTTCTATTCGTATTGCATCACCTGTTTTCGACCTGCTCATATCCGGTATAACCCATCCGTTTGCCACCCTTATGTCCATGTAACATATATTTGGCAACTTTTCCAAATATCCTCACAAATGTCCACTAGCGATTATGACATTTTTTTTTGCATCAAATCTAGAGTCATTTTCTCCGTTCAAACTGTAGTTGATCATATCATAGAACATCATTTCCTCAAACTTTTAAGATATAATACAAGGACCAAGTAGGAGCATAGATAAAATTTCCTTATCAACTCTACTTTTCCCTCTCATATAAAACCTTACAATTAGATAACGACCTTCGCTTACCATTAGGAAAGTTAAAATAGGAAGGAAAAAAAACAAATCCTTTTATATGTCGTTTCCCACTATCTAGAAAAGGATATCCCTAATGAAGTCCATGATCACAATAATCATTTTACTATGAAAAAAGAGATTATTAGGAAATAGAAGTATCGGGTAAAAAGAAAAGATACATAACCCGGTACTTTTACCCCTCTGTTTCTTAGGCTTTCTAAGAGTACAAAATATAGTAGTAAAATACATTCTTCTACTAACTCTTCACATAATAGTTATACAACAGGTTTTGCCAAAGTTGGCATGGTAGTATAGAATCCCTATTCGCAAAAATGTAAGTTCTTTTCTTCACGTCCCTCTAAGAATTTACCAGAACATGTGTATCCAAGCTAGCTAAAACATCACTTAGATATGGCCTTTCAATATAATACACCTTATGGGAAGATAGAACGATGCAACACTCGTCCTGATGAATGTGAGACAGCAGACGACAAAGAAGGTTTGCTTCCCAAGGAAGAGAATACAATAAAAAGAGATCAGCAACTTTGACTTACCCCAAGCAATGCGCTCCGAGGAGGGGCATTGCTCTCGGTGCAATCCAACACTTGCCCTGCTTTGCCTGCCCGCTCTGCTCCCTCTTTGAATGAATTGAATCCGCTGCTTCAGATACAGCATCAAAAGTACCCCTTATTGAGCCTCAATTTGCATGGACTTAGTAGCTAGAAAATGACAATTGCCGCATAAAATCCGCTCTGTTGCTTCTTATGGATTTTCACAACGCTGCTATATAAAAATGGAATATGCACTTGAAATGAATATGGATCGAGTAATCTGTTTCTTTAACTAGAAAAAATCATTTATACTGAAATCAGTTGACTCGTAAAAAGCCAATCCAACTTTTCAGCTACTGGAAATCTGTCCGTCATGTTTATAGAAAAATCCACTTAACTGCGGCTTAAATTTCTGTTTCCATATACCTCGCTCAGTTCCAGCTCCTATCTCCCTCTTTTTAACTTCTACAATTACCAGTTTCTCCGTTAATCTGTTAATCTCCGCTACTAGTACAAAATTTCCGTTTTGCCCCTCGACTCTCACGGCAGCGCCATTTTTTCCGGTGACTCTCATCCCTTCCGATTTAGCTACCTCCTCAATCCTCCGCGTAATTCTCTCTGGTGGCTCCATTGAAACAAACCTTTCAACGTCCACTTTGTCTCTGCCACCTAAACAGTTCAATAATCCAGTCAAATTAACACCTGAGGATAACGAGATTATATGAAATGCATTCAGAAACTTGCCGTCTTGATTTGTATCGGAGTTTTTGAACTGAAATTCGTCATCGAGCTGCGATTTCACCTCTTTGAAACCTTTTCGAAACCACGGATCGTTTCTGATCTGTTCAATGGAGATTCGAGTTTGAGGATTCGTGTCCAGTAGTCGAGTCAGTAATAGCTTTAACCCGTGTGAGGTCCACTTAGGGCAACGAAATTCGCCTTTGTAGATTTTCCGATACATAGCCATTAGATTTGAATCACTGAAAGGTAAATAACCAGCGTTGAGCACAAACAGGATGATGCCACATGACCATATATCCACCTTAGCTCCATCGTATCCTTTCTTCTCGAGGATTTCAGGTGCCACGTAAGCTGGAGTGCCGCAGAGCGTGTGGAGGAATCCGTCGGGTCGGATCTGATCCGCTACTGCGCTTAGCCCGAAATCAGTGACCTTGAGATCCCAATTCTCATCAAGCAAGAGATTCTCCAGCTTAAGATCGCGGTGGTAGACGCCGCGAGAGTGGCAGTAATCAACGGCAGAGATTAATTGCTGAAAATATCGACGGCTGAGATCCTCGCTAAATCGCCCTTTGCTGACCTTAGCAAACAGCTCTCCACCTTTAGCGAATTCCATGACGAAGTAGATCTTCGTCTTCGTAGCAAGTACCTCGTGGAGGTGTACGATATGAGGGTGACGCAATCTGCGCATGATAGAGATCTCCCGCTTAACATGCGCCGTGAAACCACCTTTCAAAATTTTCTGCTTGCTTACGGTCTTAATCGCCACACTCTGCCTCGTCCTAATGTCCCTGGCATGATAAACTTTCGCAAAAGCGCCGCAACCAAGGAGTTTCCCTACCTCATATTTTCCAAAAAGGTTAAGCTTGAAATCGCCGGCGGTTGCAGCGGCGGTGGATGACGATGAACTACTTTCCTCATGTAAGATCTCTGGCATTACTAGATCCAGAGACCACAAATGTACTACCAAATCTGTCG